GCGAAAGATTCACTCATCCCAGCAAGGCCAACCGGTCAGTTCCATTCTTTCCTCATTTGTTCTGCAGATCTCGCTATCACTATCTGTCAAACCCTCTTAGCTTCCGTTCTTCTCTAGCCATTGCATCTCCGCTTGTCACGCTCGTATCAGAGTAGTTAACTTAGTTTTTCGGTTCCCTCCGTTCTTTAGAATTGGTTAGCCATGGCCGAATCCGCGTCGAAGGTCATTCACGTCCGCAATGTGCCATCTGAGGCCACGGAGGTGAGGGTTTCGAACATTTAGCACGTTCCAGATCTGCATGATTTTAGTAAATTACAGAATTTATTTTGCTCGTTTTACTCATCTTTTAATCTCGATTATTCTCTTCTGCAGCTCGATGTGCAGCAGTTGGCGCAGAACTTCGGACCGGTGCAGAGGGTCGTCGTCATGAGAGCCAAGAACCAGGTTCGATTGTCGATCTGCAAAGTCTTCTCTCGTGTGCCTTCATCCTGCTCGGCTGATTCGTCATTTCACTTGTAATTAATTCAAAATTGTGATTTTTTGCAGGCCCTCATTGAGATGCAGGACATTGCAGCTGCGATCAACATGATCCAATTCTACACTGGTGTGCAGGCCTCCATCAAGTAATAAATAATAGTTGTTCCTATATTTCATCCATGGCATTATTGATTCAGTTCATCGTGCCTGTTAATTGCCAAAGAATTCACACAACCTCGCGTCGCCATGAAACGATGTAACTGCTAACGTTGTAACCGTGTAACCGTGTGCAGGGGGAGGAACGTGTATTGCCAGTTCTCCTCGCATCAGGTCCTCACGACCAACGAGAATCCGGGCAGGACACACCAGGAGGTACGTGAATTCTAGTCAACGGAGGAATGCTGGATCGGGCAATAGCGGGAACTATCCGTATTACGGAGAGCATGCTAGCCGTCCGACGACAAGGAGTCACGGATCGACCGTCCCTATTCCTCTTCCTCCTCACTGCTCTCGTTCCTTTCCGTACCTACCTTTTCCGCCTTTGTGCATCTTTCTCCTCCTTTCCGTACCTTTCTCCGCCTTACCGTACCTTTCTCCGCCTTTCCGTACCTTTCCCCGCCTTTCCGTACCTTTCTCCACCTTTCCATACCTTCTCCGCCGTTTCCTCTCATCCGTTCTTCAGATCTTACCCTCTCCCTCTCTCTCCCCTCCTCTCTCCTCCCTCTCTCTCCCCTCTCTCTCCCCATTCTCCTTCCCGTTCCTCGCTCGTCTCCCCAGGGTGCCCCTAACCGCATAATCCTAGTCACAATCCACAACCCGCTGTATCCAATCAACGTGGATGTGCTTCACCAAGTCTTTTCTCCCCATGGCTTTGTTGAGAAGATCGTCACTTTCCAGAAAGCTGCTGGTCCGACCCCCCTCTCCCTCCTTCTCGCTCTTGCACTCTTTCCTGCCTTCTGTTCCTTCCGCTCCTTCCTTTCCTTCCGCTCCTTTCCTTCTGCTCCCTCTCGTCTTCTCTAACCGCGGCCAAAGTACCCCCGGGGGTATTAGACGTCGGTCGTCATCCCCCGGAGTGAGGGGTCAGGCTGTCCCCTCACACGCGGGAAACTCGACCGCCGACCGCTTTGTTCTCAACCGCGGCCTCTGCTGCTCCCTCTCGTGCTGCACCTCGTGCTGTCTCCCGCGCTGCCTCCCCTTTCCCCCGTCCCCCGGTGTTGCGCGGAGCAGGGCTGCAGGCGCTGGTGCAGTACAACAACCAGGCGAGCGCGGCCGCCGCCAAGACCAACCTGCAGGGCCGCAACATCTACGACGGCTGCTGCACGCTCGACATCCAGTTCTCCAAGTACGTTTCCCCCTGTTATATACACATGTTCTTGTATCTCCCCCCCCCCGCAACCCACCCCCCTCCCCTCCCCCCCTCCACCCCCCCTCCTCTCCTAAAACCAACTCTTACTTTTGCCAGAAGGACGTGGTTTTCAAAAGCCAACTCTTATCTTGCTCCTGCAGCACTCAATAGGATTGGTCCTACGTAACAGCCGTTCAAAGCTCGACGAGGTGCCTCTGTTGGGTTTCTTCCGTGTGTCAATGTCGGTGGTTGTTACAAGTTACAACGTTGGTGGTCCCAACGATGTTAGTTACAATGTTGGCAACAGTGGTTCTCATGATGTGTGTGTGTGTGTGTGTGTGTGTGTGTGTGTGTGTGTGTGTGTGTGTGTGTGTCTGTGTGTCTGTGTGTCTGTGTGTCTGTGTGTGTGTGTGTGTGTGTGTGTGTGTGTGTGCGTGCGTGCGTGCGTGCGTGCGTGCGTGTGTGTGTGTGTGTGTGTGTGTGTCGTTCTGCCCCTGCGTGTGTGCGCGCGCGTGTGAATGGTGTGGTGGTGCGGGTGCTCATGGTGGTGGCGGCTGTGGTGATGGTGTGTGCGGTGTGCAGTTTGAGCGAGCTACAGGTGCATTACAACAACGAGCGCACCAGAGACTATGTCAACCAGCTGCCGGATCAGCCGGGCAAGGCACCCATGATGGTAAGCGGAGACAGCCAGTGGTCATTCCCTGTCCCGTCAAGTTCCTCCCTTCGCCCGTTTGTGTAACTGACGCGCCTCTCATTCTTCTAATTTATTTTTTCCGCGTGAGCAGCAGACGTCACTGTTTGGCGAGGGCGGGAATGTGTATGGCGCCATGCCCGGGCAGCGGCCGGGTGTGTTTCCGGGACAGATGGGGCAAATGGGGCAGATGGGGCAGATGGGACAGATGGGGCAGCCGGGCATGCCCCAGCCTGGCATGGGCGGCCTCAACGCATATGGGGTGAGCCCTTTTGCCTTCTGCGTGTATTGGTCATCCTGCTGCTTAATTGTGCCTTTCCTGCTGCTACTGCTGCTGCCACCGCTGCTGTTGGCACTGCTGCCGCTGCGGCGTACATTGCATGTTGGAGCTTCCTTTGCATGGTGTATGTCATTGGCGGGTTGCTGCTCTGTATGTTTGGCTGCATGCAGAACACCAACATGGTTTTTGAGGCGCCTCAAAAATCACCCCTGTGCTTGGTGTATGTCATTGGCGGGTTGCTGCTCTGAATGTCCTCTGCATGCAGAACCCCGGCATGGCAGCAGCAGCGGCGGCGCAGATGTTCGGGGGCAACCTGCCGCCGGGTGTGACGGGCACCAACGACCGCTGCACACTGCTCATCTCCAACATCCACCATGAGGTGCGCTGACGTCAGGCGCGGGAGACGTGACATGCTGACGTGGCCCATGAGGACTTTTGACCTGATTTAGAGAGTTGCTTCTTCAAACGTGCAGACAGTTCCTGTTGCTGCCCCTTTCCATGCGCTATCCAGCATTGCCATGGGCGCGCCTTGCACTTTCCACACACCACCCGGCCCTTTAAACCTGCACTCTTCTTGAACCCCTTCTCAGGTGGTGGACGCGGACAAGCTGTTCAACCGCGTTCTCAACTACTGCTATGTGGTGCCCCTATCACGCAGAGCCCGTCGTTACTACATGCTCTCTACCCATGCTCCACCCTCTCTACCGTCTCCAACCGTTTACATGCCAAGTGGTGGACGCGGACAAGCTGTTCAACCGCGTGCCCAACTACGGCAACGTGGTGCCCCTACGATGCACTGCCTACCGCACTCCATGCTCTCTAACCACACTCCACACTCCGTGCTTCACCCTCCCCATCACACATGTCAGGTGGTGGATGCGGACAAGCTGTTCAACCTGGTGTCCAACTACGGCAACGTGGTGCGAATCAAGTTCCTGCACAACAAGCCCGACCATGCCCTCGTGCAGCTCGCTGATGGGCTGCAGGCCGAGCTCGCCGTCACTTATCTCAAGGTGTGTTGCTGTCCACCCTGTGGTGCCATGGAGTACGATGTCCTTGTGTATGCTGTCTGTGTGGCGCCTTGGGGTGTGCGTTGGGTTTTCACAACAAGCCCGACCATGCCCTCGTGCAGCTCGCTGATGGGCTGCAGGCCGAGCTCGCCGTCACTTATCTTAAGGTATGCCGTTTGCTTTGTGTGCTGCCATGTGTTTAGGTGAACCAAGGGCAGATACACCCTCGCCGACACTAAGTTGGTGCGTTTCTGTCACTACATTATCCATTCCTCTCACACTACTTCGCTCAAATCTGCCCTCCCATGGGCTTCCTCCGCACTCCCTCCCCTTCCCCTCCTCGTCCCTACTCCTACCTCCCTCCCTTTCCCAGGGTGCTGCCATGTTTGGGAAGCGGCTGGAGGTGAACTATTCCAAGTACCCGTCCATCAACCCGTCAGCCGACACTAAAGACTACTCCACGTCCAACCTGAACCGCTTCGGCCGCAACGCGCCCAAGAACTACCGCCACTGCTGCGCGCCCACGCGCATGCTGCACTGCAGCAACCTGCCAGCTGACGCCAGCGCTGACATGGTGGTAGAGCACATGGCCCCGCACGGGCCCGTGCTGGGGTCTAAGGTGATCGACAAGGACGGGAAGAAGCAGGTGCTCGTGCTGTTCGAAACGGTGGAGGCGGCCACTGATGCGCTCGTGGCAAAGCATGCCACGCCCATCGGTGGGCAGGTTATCCGGCTCGCGTTCTCCAAGAGCCAAAATCTGTAGGGGATGGTTCTGGGGGGTAGATGACAGTGCGTGTGCTGGGGTCGAAGGTGATTGACAAGGACGGGAAGAAGCAGGTGGTGGTGCTGTTTGAAACGGTGGAGGCGGCCACTGATGCGCTTGTGGTGAAGCATGCCACGCCCATCGGTGGGCAGGTTATCCGGCTAGACCTTTCCAAGAGCCAAAATCTGTAGGGTTGACTAGGGTTTTGGATGAGTAGAGCTCGCCGAAGTGTTCTTGGTTGTCCTTCGGCTCTGGAGTGTTTTTATTTTGATGGTATGTTGAATAATTGAAAGGGTGAAAGTGGGAATGTTGAATCTACCGTAGGAACAAGGGTAAATGCTGGAAATTGTTTGGTTAAACTCCACTAGACTGAGAGAAGTACATTAGACCAGAATCCAATAAGCACTGACACTGTACTGCAAGTATGGCAGTGGCTAGCTGAACATGTGTGGCATGGGCCGCACTGCCATAAATGCATCCACCATCTGTGTGCATGGGAGGGGATAAGATGATGAGGGCAGATGAGGTGGGGCAGATGAGGTGGGGCAGATGAGGTGGGGCAGATGAGGTGGGGCAGATGAGATGGGGCAGATGAGATGGGACAGATGAATGGGGGACAGATGGAGGATAAGATAACTCCCGACAAGCTGGTATCGTTAAGGCAGTACCTAGCTGAACATGTGTGTCATGGGCCGCACTGCCGTAAATGCATCCACCAGTTGGGGATGCATGGGAGTAGGGGGGGGGAACGTGAGATGGGGCAGATGAGATGGGCAGCAGATGTATGGTGGCCACATGAGTGGGGGCCAGACGATGACTAGCCTCGTCTGTGACAGGAGCACGGGCCTTTTGGTGGTGGTCCACCATGCCAGTTAATACCTCCATGTGTGCAGGCAGACTGATGAGGCTAGGCATGAGGAATGACACGAGCCGTGTGACTGACTGTCCTGATCAGTGGGTGGAACTAACCTCGTCAATTTGGGGCACTCACCTCATCAGTGACAAGTGCGCGTGCCTTCTGATGGCGCTCCACCATGGCAGTTAACACCTCCACCAGCCGCCCCTTCACCTCCCCTGTCAGCATTCGCCCTGCCCCGTACTCCTGGAGTGAGGGGTGATGGGAGCAATGGTGAGGGGGGGAGATATTATTCCGCATGGTGCCCTCACTCCCAGCAATGCTCACCGCAAGCAAAACAGTTTAAAGCACTCGTCATTTTAAAGTGCTCTCACCGTTTTGATGTGCTCCAGCTCAATGTCGTCGTCCAGGAAGAAGGACAGGTACTTCACTGGCACGTCCACCTGCAGGCATGGGTGGGGATAGGTGGAGATAGGTGGGGATGGGTGGGGATGGCATGAGACGGCATGGGTTTCCAAGGAGAGGTACTTCAGTGGCACGTCCACCTGCGATTGTGGGTGGAAACAGCATGCGGCAAAGTAAGACAGGTTGTGCAAGATTCAGGCATGCAGGCAAGTCAGGAGAGGAAGGGAAGGATACACGGAAAGCATAAAACCGTCCACTCGCCTCTCTCTTGAAGCCATTCAGCATGAAACATCGACATTCCACCGCACCCACCTCCAGGTTCGCCCCCTTGGCTCGGTGCTCCTCAATGGTTGCTCCACCGCCTGAGAAGGCATAGCGGTTGATCTGCACAGGCCATGAGAGGGCGGGGTGGAGAGGGGGGAGGGGGAGAGCGAAAACTGTGGTGATTGTGGGGCGAAAGGCAGATGGCAGTTGACGCGAGGGAGGAGGGGTCGTGGAGGAGGGAAGGATGGATACACATGGGGATAGTGGTGGGACAACCTGGGGCACATGGTTAGGCATTAACAACTCATGGGTACAGCAATCTGTGACGGCGGTATCGCCAAGCCTTACCTTGTTCTTTATCTCCTTGGGCGAGTCCGTGACAAAGACAGCCGAGTTGGGGTCACTGGCGCTCATCTTGCCACTCTCGCCCTGCACGCAGCAGAGGGGGATGTGGAGAGATGCGGAGAGGGGGAGGAGGGGAGTACGGGCAGTGGAAGCAAGGTGAGACTTGAGGTGGCGGAGAGAGTGAGAGAGCATACATGGGTCATGGGTGGGGGGTTGGGGTCACTGGCGCTCATCTTGCCACTCTCGCCCTGTGCATAGGAGAGGGATGAGTGCAGGGAGAGGGGAGAGATGAGAGTACGGGTGGTAAAGGCAAGGTGGTTACCAGTGCGCTGGAGAGAAAACAAGTGCACAATGCCCCCCGTCATCCCTCGTTACCCTCCCACATCCCTCATTACCCCACACCAACCCCTATTGCCCCCCACCACCTCCTGTTCCCACCCACCGCCCCCCGTTACCCCCCACCACCGCGCTGTGCGCACCTGTGGGGGGAAGAAGCGCGACTCAATGAGCGCTGGCTTGTGGAAGCCCAGGCAACCTTTCCTGCAGCCACACCATCCCCATCACCCCCACCACTCCCCACCACCCCACACCACCGCTCACCACCCCCCATTATCCCACCCCAGCATCCCCCATCACCCCCACCACGGGCCCCCTCTGACCTGCAGGGCGGGGAAGAAGCGCGACTCGATGAGTGCGGGCTTGTGGAAGCCCAGGCGCGGAGCACAGTCACGTGTCATGCGGAAATAGGGGTCCTAGCAGGGGGAGGGGGCAGGGGGAGATAGAGGACGGGGGATATGAGTGCATCAGAAGCCCAGAAACATGGGGATGTGGAAGCCCAGAAACATGGGGATGTGGAAGCCCAGAAACATGGGGATGTGGAAGCCCAGGCTTGGCATAACATTGCATGGCATGGCATGGCATTGGTGGCATGGCATGGCATGGCATGGTTCACAGTGCACACACCTGGTCGATGGCGTGGGGGATGAGGCAGCGCACTTCGTTCTTGCGGCCGAACAGGTGCGGGAAGGACGAGGGGCACGCTGGGGCAGCCTGGGAGGTTGGGGTGCCAGCGAGAGCAGAGAGACAGTGAGGAGGGGAGAAATGTGCCGGTGAGACAGTTGGTGTCGGTAGAATGGGTGAAGTAGAAATGTGCCGGTGAGGCAGCGGAGAGGCAGGGAGGGAGAGGACGAGAGCGGCAGCGAGGGTGGTCGGGGGATTGGAGGGCATGGGAGAGGGAGGGGAAGAGGGTGGGGGTGAGGGTGGGGGTGAGGGTGAGGGTGGAGGAGAGGTGGAGGAGGGTGGGGGAGAGTGGAAGAGGGTAAGGGTGGGTTGGGGAGAGGGTGGCACCTGAACGGGAGGGAAGCCCACTTTGCCGATGCAATCCTCACCGTCGAATCCAAAGATGCCCCGTGCCTGATGCCATGACACGTAGCACACAATAACAGTGATATGATGTGATATGATGTGATATGATGTGACATGATATGATGTGACAAGATTTTGATTTGGCAAAATACTGGAGAAACAAAGTGGTAACATGAGAGCAAATAAACAGAATCCTTGGCCAATTTCTGACTAAAATCCTCAACAATCAGGCAGTCAGAGATTGGCGCCTTGCCTGGTTGAGAGTGACACATCGAGCGATCTTCACAATGTTTTGATAGAAGTCCCTGCCATGCCACCACACAACCATGCACGCGCACACAATCCAATTCAGGTCGCACCAGTTGAACGTTGTTTCAAAACGTCAAGCCGTCATGCAATGATGGTCCCACCCCACGCACCCCCTCCTTAAAGAGAACGCACCCGCCCACGTAGTCAAAGTCACGCATCATTCCCCACGACGATGAAGGTCCTTGACACGTCAAAGCCGCACACAATGATGTCCTTGGCGTTCTCCCTCACACTCACTCACGCCATGCCATGGCTGACCATCCAACCCACCCGGTCCTCCCACGAAACTCACCCGCCCACATAGTCGAAGTCACAGAAGATAAAGGTCCTTGCAACATCAAACCCGCACGCAATGATGTCCTTGGCATTCTCCCTTCCACATACTCAACGCTGCCTCGCTCATCTTCTCTACCCCCAACCCAGCCATCACACACCCGCCCACATAGTCAAAGTCACAGAAGATGAAGGTCCGTGAAACGTCAAACCCGCACGCAATGATGTCCTTGGCGTTCTCCCTCGCCAGCCGCCGTGCCTCCTCCACACTCATGCTCTTCCACAGATACTTCTCGTCGTCGGTCAGTTGGATGACCAGAGGGACTTTAAAGGCCTCTTGAAGCCACCTGGAGGGGTGAGAAAGAAAGACAGGCTGCGTCAATCAACCCCCCCTCCACACTCATGCTCTTCCACAGATACTTCTCATCATCAGTCAACTGAATCACCAGAGGGACCTTGAACGCCTCTTGAAGCCACCTGAAGGTGTGTCAAGGAGACGGACCGAAAGAAAGAAACTGAGGCAATTAACCCTTCCCTTCCCCCCCTCCACACTCATGCTCTTCCACAGATACTTCTCGTCGTCGGTTAAATGAATCACCAGAGGGACCTTGAATGCTTCTTGTAGCCACCTGGGGGTGTTGAGTAAGTGAGGAGCGTTGAGAGGGTGAGGAAGATGATAAGTAGCTGTGGCAGTCACCCCCTCCTCCACACTCACGCTCTTCCACGGATACTTCTCGGCATTGGCTAACGCCGAGAAGCATCTGTGGAAGAATAGAGGGGCTCTGAGATTTCAGCAGCTACTGGTGTCATGATTCTAATGCGTGTCCAGACTCAAGACTCAAGACGCACAACTCATGAACCCAACGCGCGGCTCACTTGGTGAACATGAAGGGAATGAGGTGACCCAGGTGCAGTCTACGCAGCAGCTACCAGCGTCGAGACTCCACCACGAGTCCCTGACTCACGACGCACGATCACGACTCACAGCTCATGTCGCACAAACTCACGACCCACGACGCGCGGCTCACTTGGTGAACATGAAGGGGATGAGGTGACCCAGGTGCAGCGCCTCGGACGAGGGGCCTCGCCCCGTGTACAGGTAGAACCGCTCTCCCTTCTCCACGGCGTCTAGAATCTTGTCGAAGTCGCTGTGAAGGGATAGAGGGGTGGGGAGGGGTAGAAGGGGATACCGGGGGGTAGGGTAGGATTGGCGGGGTGGAACGGGGAAGCAGAGGGGGGCGGGAGAGGTTGAAAGGCGGGCGGGAAGGAGGGGAATGGGAGACCAGGGGAAGGGGGCGCGGGCGGGAGGAGCGCGCCGGACGCTAGCCGCTGTGGTAGGCGCACCGGTGCGCGAAGAAGATGCCGCGGCGGAGGAACGGGTGCGCGCGCACGCCGGTGAGCTTCTCCATACGCGATACAAGCGGGGGTTCGAGGCGCTGGCAGCCGAACTGCTCGATAAGCTTGTTGTAGTCGATACCGCCCCCGGACGACACCTCCCACGGCGTCACCACCTGCTCCGCCCCCGCCTCCCCCGCGCTCTGTTGCTCCGCATTCTCCCCGCCTGCGCTGGCCGCGCTCGCCTCCGCGGGCGCGGGGGCTGCGGTGGAAGGATCGGCGCCGGTCATTGAGCGCGGACGAGGAGGAAACGGCGTGTTGGGAGGAGGACGCGCCGCGCGAATTGAGGATGACAGAAGGACAATGCGGGCACGTGAGGTAGGGCTGGTGTCGTCGTGCAAACAAGTGGATGCTCGATGATTCGTGGATCATCTGCAGTGGGTTTCGGGTTTGTGACGGGCTTTCGTACTCGATAACGTAAGCATTTAACAGTAGCGGAACAATTGTGCAACAATTGTGCAATGTGTGAAGTATAGATTATGGAGCCATAACTCAGCAATTTTGTCTTCAACAAAGATTGAATCACAGATTGACATGGCTTTGATTATCCAACAATAGATTCCAATCCAAAATATTGCAAACTTCAATAATTTTAAGCCCTTGCTACAAAATCAACGCCCTTGTCAATGCTTGCCTTGAGCTCAGGCTTCAACTTGTCCAACCACACCCTGCAAGCACAGCGAAAGAAAGAGAGGAACAGCAGAATGACAACAATGGCGGACAACAATGGCGGCGCGTAAAACCTGGTCTGGAGGCATCTCTTTTGAAGGCGTCTATTCTCTGATCGCCTCGACACCTAGTTCTGCAAGCATGTGAGTAACCATTACTAGGATACAAGGGAGGTTCAAAACCACGAATTCACGTTCACACAGGGGGGAACTCACCGCTCATACTGAGTCATGGGCCCTAGCCCTAGCACCTCCTCCACTCCTTGCCGCCCCAGCACCACTCGAGAGGCAAAGAATGGCAGCTCCGTCACCTGCTCATGCACGGCAGAGGGTGGTGATGGGGGTGGGAGGGGGCGGGGCTTTAGAGTCTTGACTCAAGAACACCTTGTGACAACAGCACACGAGGCAAAGAATGGCTTAGTCAGCTGCTCATGAATAGCAGGGGGTGGTGGTCGTGGTGCCGGAGTGAGGGGTTGACAGAGGTGGGAGTCAATTCACATGCTACCGGCTTGCCTTGATGCAGAGACACGGGCACACAGACACGGGTACGGGCACAAGTACAGGCACGGGCATGGGTATGGGAAATGGCGTGGGTGTGGGTACAGGCACGGGCATGGGTATGGGAAATGGCGTGGGTGTGGGTACAGGCACGGGCATGGGCATGGGAAATGGCGTGGGTGTGGGTACAGGCACGGGCATGGGCACAGGCAGGTGCATGAGAATGAGCACGTGGCAGTGGCGACTGACCGTGGATTGCACGAAGGCGCACTCCACAATGCCCGCCTCCCCCCGCATGGCCCGTAGACACGCCTGCGCGAACTTGGCCGCTGCATACGCCTGTGCACGGGGAGGGATAGGTGGGACGGGAGGGACCGGACACCAAGGAGGAATGGGGTGGGTGAGTGGGCGTTGAGTTGAGCAGTACGAGTTAAACAGAATATGGGTTGGTTGTGTTGAGAGGGTCATATCAGCTCACGTGGTGGCGGTGGCATGCAATGACTGAGTTGGGGTCTATCTGCTGCTTGCAGCAGAGTTGGCTTTAAGTTAGCACAACATGATGCAGGTTATCATTGGCGTGGCTTGTTGGTATTTTGTTTTTATCCTCAGAATTCAACTACTATTTCTTGGTAGACGACAAAACACGATGGGAAGGGTCTCACCATGGACAGGGTGGCAGAACCAGCGCCGGCTTTGGCCTGCAGCAATGCACGGAGGGAGGGGAACAGGGGGCAGGGAGACAGGATCAGCATACGCAGGGCACTGCGATAAATGCGCATTGCACAATCATGCAAAATTGTGCTGTGCAAAAAAAACAGATTTGTTTTTGCATGTGCTGGTAACAAACATGGTGATAAATCGTGGTTAGGTTGGCAAATTCTGTTTGTGCAAACCGTTTTGCAAGTGATGGCATCCACATGGGAAGCACAGTGTAGACACGGTTCACCTGGCTACAAAACTGCTTGTGCCCCCACACTCACCTCGACGACCTCCGTGCCTCCGTTTTGGATTCTGTTGGTCAGTTGGTCTAGCTCCTCCTGGCTGAAGCTCACCGCAGGTGTCACCTGCACACACCGCACACACAGCACACACCGCGTACACCCCACACACAGAACACACCGCACACACAGACAGCACACAGCACACGCCACACACACAGTAGGCGACACACAGTCAGCATTGACCTCTCCATTGAGCAGCTACAGCTGTGGGAGCCATTGTGAAAATGGGAGCAGGGGGCGCCTGAGGAAGCAGCTACGGCTACGGGAGTGACTGTAAATATGCGAGCAGTCATACCTGCGAGAGCAGCGGCAGGATGGTGATGCCTGCATGGCCGCCCACCACTGGCACGTTCACTTCCTCGGGATTCAGCCCCAGCACCTCCGCCTGCCGTGCCACAGGCGCAGGAAATTTGCACAGGATACACGGGAGTTTTCACAAGGGAGGTTCTTAAGGCGCCTCATAAATGCATGCGATTCGCTGCTACTCCATACAACCATCCCGCAAGCTCCATCACATTCAGGGAACGTACCACGAAGGTGTTGGCGCGGACCACGTCGAGCGTCGTGACGCCCATCAGCTTGCGCGGATCGTACGTCCCCGCGCGCCGGAACACCTCCGCGGCGATCGCGACCGTCGAGTTCACCGGGTTGCTGATAATGTTCACGACGGCGCGCGGGCAGTGCTTCGCGATTCCCTCGCAGAGCGTCTTGACGATGCCGGCGTTGATCTTGAACAGGTCGTCGCGCGTCATGCCCGGCTTGCGCGGCACGCCCGCGGGGATGATCACCAAGTCCATTCCGTCTAGCGCCGCGCCCAGCTGGTCATTGCCCAGGAACCCGCGCACGACGGCGGAGGTGCTGGTGTGGCTGAGGTCGGCCGTGACGCCGGGCGTGTTGAACACATCGTACAGGTGCAGCACCGATACAAGCGGATTCATTTTAAGCAGCAGCGACAGCGGCTGCCCGATGCCACCCGCTGCGCCCAACACGGCGACCTTGAATCCGCCGCTGCTGCCCTTGGCGCGCGTGACGTTCATGCTGAGCCCACCATCCTGCGCGCAAGGCCAACAAAGGAATTTTTTATAATGTCAGACATCGCTCTTCATACCGTAATACTCGGTATTGGATAATTGATCAAGTGTAATTATTATAAAAATAAACCAATAGAAGACCATTACGAAAACGGATGATGCGAGCAGCAGGGCGACGCGGGTAATTCCGATGCACGCCAAAAGAGCGCACGATGCGTGAGACGAGGCAGTGGCTACTCACGCTGGTCGACGCGGGCGGGCAGATGTGCGAGGCGATGCGGTTGATTCGGTTCAACGGACTCATGGTGCGATGCGCGGCTGACGAGACGACTGACGAAGACGACTGGCGTAGGGCTAGTAACGGCCTTTGTTCTAGCCTCGCGTGGTCCTCTGATACTGGACTGTGCGGGAGAAGTAGAAACACAGCGACAGGGGAAGATATGAAAGCCTACTGCTGTTGCCAAGCGTGCTAAGGCTGCTATGCGTCTGGAAAATGAATGCCAGAAATAGGAATTCCCAAGGCTTCTGTGCTTTTGAATGGCTTGAGGCTACCAGCCTCCGCCTCAGTCAGTCCCCCCCCCAAGACAAATTCGAAATCAAAATTCGAGAGACAGGCTGGTTGGTTCATGCAAATGCATCATGCGTGCACTGGGTTTCAGTTTCGGTTTCGATTTCTGCTTCCACATGGATCATTGCCCCGGGAAAAGGAGACCAGTTGAGCTGGCAAGTCGCCTGACTGATGTGTGTGTGTGGTCCCAGCAGTCTTTCCAGAAGACCCATGCTGACGTGATCCTGGACTCGTTCAGGCAGGTGCCTCCTAGTGATGTCACGTCAGCAAAGGCTGATGTGGACTTGGGAACCTCCATAGTCCCTAGTGGCAACCGCGCTATCGTGTGGACTCGTTTCAGTGTGGGCCATTTCACATTACACTAGCATACAAAACGTTTACACGAAAGGTTTATCCTTTCAAATTTGGCCTTCCTGACACTTGGGGATTGCCGAGCCATCCGTACCTGTGAATGGACCAATGGCGATAACTCGAGCCTTGTTCCACACGCTGGCTGAGGCTGTGCCTGTCCTGTGTGCTGGCCGCACCTGCGCGTCGTCTCAGTCGATCATACAAATGTGCAACAGAGCTGTTTCTTTGGCTGTTGTCGGAAACCAGGTTGTCTGTCAACGCTAGCTGAACAGCCGTCCTTACCTCATAGTTCCCGCAGATCAGAGACCTGCCGTTGCCTGCGCCGTCTCGCTGCTCGTTTGTCTCGGCAGCACCGGCGATCCTTAGCTGATTCATTCTGAATCCTAACGGAACCTTGGCATCACCGCCTGAATCCGCCTGGCATCACGCTTGGTGAATTCGCATCTCACAAATATACCCGTATCCGCAAATTCTCATATCCGCAGAGCATTCTAGGACTTCACCGTTAGAAAGCGTGGCCCTTCAGATATTCTCCACGTTGACTCGATTCTGTCCCGAACAGTTTTAAACCGCTTTCGAACAGTTTCAACCAGTTTGAACCAGTCCAGAAGCGTGCGGAGCAGCTCGCGCGAGGATGAGTCGTCAGATGTGCGGCGAGTGCAAGCGCAACACGGAGCTCGTACACGACCACGCTGCGGGCGACCTCATCTGCGCCGAGTGCGGCCTCGTCGTCGAGGCGCACAGCGTCGACGAAACTTCCGAATGGCGTACTTTTTCTAACGAAGCCGCTAATACCGACCCCGTGCGTGTCGGCGGGCCGACAAATCAGCTGCTGACAGATGGCGGGCTGACGACGATGATCAGCGCCGGGAAGAACGGGCAGGGCGGGGGGGATCTCCCCGGGCGGAAAGGGTGGGCCAGCCAGGGCTCGAACCCGGACCGGGACTTGATAAACGCGTTTCAGTCGATAGGCGACATGGCGGACAGGTGAGACGCCGCTAGGGAGAGAGAGGGACTTGAGGGAAAGTGGGAAGGATGGCCGAGGTCACGGGTTCGAATCTTGAGGGTGACCTGATTACCGCAGTTTAGGCAGGTGAGGGGCGTTGGGTGGTGGACATGCGAGGGTGGCGAGGGAGGCTGGAAAAGGTGACAAGAAGGTGGGCAGATGGGTTTGGCGTGTGGGTTAAGAGAAGTGGCTCCGTAGGATAGCAGAGAACGGTGAGCTATCAGAGACTCACGACCAGCCGTCAGTGAGCGACATCAGCGATCGGATGTGCTGGTGGCCTGTAACACGTCAGATTCAATGCCGGTATGGTGATTGGCAAACATCGCATGTCTGAACCCACAGCCATCAACCAGCATGGCACCAGCACGAGCCATTCAATTGTTTCTCCCTCCCCGCCCATTCCCTGCGCCCCCGTTTACCCCCCCTACCTTGTTCGCTCCCTCCATCATGTAACCTGGTAACCACCTCGGCCCACCCAACTTCGCCTGTGCTCACCTCGCCGCGTCGCCACCGCCGTGCCATGCACACGTGTGTGGAATGCGACGTGGGCCGGCTTCTGACATTGCAGACTGGGCCTCGTAGCCACTATCCGGGTAGGCCTCTTCCTCCTCGGCCCTCTTTGTCTCTCCTCGTCCTCCTTGTCCCTCCTCGCCCCTCCTTATCCCTCCTCGTCCCTCTTTTTCCCCCCTTGTATCTCCTCGCACCTCCTCCCCCTTGCTCTCTTCTTCATCATCTGAACGTCCTAGGACCATGTGCCTCCCCCTCTCACCCCCATATTTTGTAATCTGTGTTCGCCCCTCCCAGGACCGTGCGAACGAGATACTCAAGACGGTGCACGACTTGGACTTGAAGAGTATCCCCCTCACATCCCTACTACACCTTTCCCCCTCTTTCCCCATACCCTCGCATTGTGCTTGCCCTTACCAGGACCGTGCGAACGAGATATTCAAGAAGGTGCACGACTTGAAGAGCATTCGCGGGCGCAGCAACGAGGCCACGTATGCTGCTTGCCTTTACATTGCATGCCGGCAGGAGGACAAGCCACGTACCTTCAAAGGTGAGTGGGGGGGGTTGCAGATCTGGAAACCAAAGTTGCTGGTGCTGTCAGCCCTCGCATGCCCTCACGTGCCCTCCCACCCTCACGTGCCCTCCCACCCTCACGTGCCCTCCCACCCTCACGTGCCCTCCCACCCTCATATGCCCCTCCTCACTGCCACGTGTCACTCTCCCTCCACCACACGTGCAGAGATAGGGTCAGCAGGCAACAACATATCAAAGAAGGAGATAGGCCGAGCGACCAAGTTTATAGTGAAGCAGCTAGAAGCGGATATGGGGGCGGTGGACATGGGAGCGGTCAATGCAGGCGATTTCATGGTGAGTCGGCTCTTCCCCATGATGAGTGAGTGGGGGCCCCCTGGGAGGGACCTCACATACGTGAAGCGGATTTGGGGGCGGTGGACATGGGAGCGGTCAATGCAGGCGATTTCATGGTGGCTAGTAGGCGGTTTTAGTATAAGCAGGTGCGGTTTCAGTATAAGCAGGTGCGGTTTCAGTATAAGCAGGTGCGGTTTCAGTGTAAGCTGGTGCGTCGACTCAAAAACTCTTTCTCCTCTACCCCCCCTGCGTCACCACCACTCACCCCTCACTTCCCTCACCCGCTTCTCCTCCCCCCTGCTTCTCCTCTCTTCCCTCCTTTTCCTCCCCCTGTCCCCCCCCTGCAGCGGCGCTTCTGTTCGCATCTGGGCATGAAGGGAGCGCCAGTGCAGGCGGCAATAGGGGTGGTGCAGAGCACAGAGCAGATCGACATGCCCTTGTCCCTCAGTGTCACCACCACTCACCCTCACTCCTCTCACCCCCCACGCCCCCTTTCTCCACCCCACCCCCCCGTTTCCCCTGCAGCGGCGCTTCTGCTCGCATCTGGGCATGAAGGGGGCGCCAGTGCAGGCAGCAATAGAGGTGGTGCAGAACACAGAGCAGATTGACATCCGCACCAGCCGAGCGCCCATCTCCAAGGCCGCTGCCGCCATCTACATGGTCACTCAGCTCTGCAGCAACCCCGTGCCCACCAAAGGTAGTGTATGGATTATTGTGCCATGGTTGTGTCTGGTGCTGGTGGTGTGTGCGCACGAGCAGAGCGCCCATTTCCAAGGCTGCTGCTGCCATCTACATGGTCACTCAGCTCTGCAGCAACCCCGTGCCCACCAAAGGTGAGCGGCATGCGAGACACCTGCTGTTGCGAGGTGCACGCCAGTGTCGCATGCAAGGTGCACGTGCGTGCATTGGAGTCTCGTTCTTTTCAAGGTGCACGGTGCAATGCCTTTGCCTCGTCCCCTTCCCTCTTCCTGTTGGGTTCTCTCGTCCCTCCGTTCCTGCTCCTCGCCTCTCCCACCTCCCATGTCCCCCTGGCCACAGACATGTTGCATTGCAGGTAACAGGGATGGCAGAGAGTGGCACCATGTGCACCAGCTATGAGGGCCTTTCCGTTTCTCTCCCCTCTCCTCCTCAAATGCTTCTCTTCCTCTTGCCTTTCCACTCCCCCTTGCCGCCTGACATATCGCGCGCAAGGGCGTGGCTGAGGGGACTTTTGAGTCGACTCAAAAGTCACTTTCCACCCCCCCTTGCCGCCAGACATATCACACGCAAGGGCATGGCTGAGGGTACCATCCGCAACACCTACAAGCACCTGCTCCCCTTCAACCTGCCATTTCCCATCCTAATTCTCCATTCCCTACCTGCCTGTCATTCGCCTTTCGCTTCAATCCCCCTACCTGCAGATATATCGAGGGCAACGGGAGTGGCAGAGGGCACCATCCGCAAACACGTACAAGGACCTGCTGCCCTCCCCTTCCCCCTCCACGTCTCCTCTTCCTCCTGCACCTGTTCATCTCCTCTCCCCTTGCATTCCCCCTCCCCCCTTTCTGCAGACATATCGAGGGCAACGGGAGTGGCAGAGGGCACCATCCGCAACACGTACAAGGACCTGCTGCCCTTTGCCTCGCGCCTGCTGCCCGAGTCATACGCCAAACCAGAGGACATTGCCAAGCTCTCCCCCTCGTAGCCCACTTGCCTTGCTGCCACTCACAGTCGTCTTCTCTGCATGTTCTGGGTGACGTGACGGCACAACATGTGAGAGTTGCAAAAGCGACTTCAGTAGTGCTCCCTGACGGACAACCCTTCATCGCAGCGGTTTCTGACTGAGGCGCTGCAAAAGAAAACACTCAGCTTCATTTTGGGGAGAGTTTATTCTTCAGGTTGTGCTTGCTGTGATTGAGAAGAGAGCGTGTTGTACACTGTACACTGTGATTAAGAAAGCATTGTACAATATACAAACCGAGGCAGCCATGTTGGCGAGCTATCTTCTCCCTTTGTTCTTTACCCATTCCATCTCGCCGGCACAGATGTTTGTATCGTTACAGTGTGCAGTGCACAAGCCGTGTCTGAAGCGCTGTATATCCTGAGAGAACGTGGAGGCAACAGAGCCAAAGAACACGGTAGCCTGCACACACACCAGCTTCTCTAGCACCGATGCTGCAATGCCGATGTTCCTGCTGTCGCTCACAATGGAAGCTAATGGTGTAACCCAATCATCAGACTGATTTTGACCTTCAAACTCTGGGTTATTGCTGGTGTTGGTGCTGCTGCACATGCTGCTGGTGATGGTGACTGTGGCACCGTTAGTGGCATTAGTGTATGTGACGATAACGGGGGGTTTCTCCAGGGTGCCGGTGAGGGGTGGAAGGCGGTGGAAGGTGATGCTGGTGGGAGTGATGCGAGCTATATTGCGGGTGAGCTCCTGCAGCTGCCAGGGTGTGAGGGGGTGGGAAGTGGGCAGAGAAGGAACTTCTGATGGCTCTATGGGAGAGCCATGCATGCTTCAGGGCTCTGATCCGCAATGAAATGGCACTGCGAGGGTAACCAGACCAGAGGGAAAAGCAGAAACGACTTCACAACAGGATCTTGCTCACAAACTCACCTGCTTGCTCGTGGCTTTCTACAACGCTCACAGCTCACCTTCTTGAGCCTGGGATATGCCACAGTCTCCCCTCCTGCATCCCACACTAATCACTGTACAGAGAGCACGGCACTGCCTCTATCACCTTTTCACTCTGCCATGCATGCACGCACGCATGCTCACCTCCTTGAGCTTGGCGTTGGTGGCAAGGAACAGCTCTTGAATGCCGCTCTCCCTCACCCTCTCCACCACCCAATGCGCCACCTGGGATGCACCAGAGCCAGTAACCATGTTACCACGTGTTATTACGAAGCAGGTTCAACAAGAGATATCTAGCAACGCGGCACCACAGCTCCCTGCAGACGTGGTTTGGAACTACGCTTGCTTCAGTTCAGACTGTGTTGAGCCTCCTTAAGAAAAAAAGAGGGAGAACCTCTCCTGAAGGCAATAAAACCAACCCAAACTGTGCATGTCACCTGATGCACGGGGTAGAAGCAAGCATGTTTGGGCCCGCGCCAGAAGCACCAGGGCTTGAAGTCGCCCCGCCGCCAGTGTAGCGCCAGGAACGGCCGCCCCCCAAACAGCCGCCCCACCAGCAGCTCAGCGCTCTCCAGCAGCGCGGGGCGCGGGCGCAGGAGGAGCGGCGAGGGGCAGGCGGCGGAGCGGCGGAAAGGCAGGTCGAGAAAGGGCTGCTGCTGTGCTGTGATGGTGGTGGTGGTTCCATCAGCAGGGGACTGCTGAGGCGTTTCTCCATCCATGTTTTCCTCCACTTGTGCAGGAGGCTCATGTGTGGCGCCCCCTGTTAAAGTCCCTTCATGTGCGTGAGAGACGTGCAGGTTGAGCAGGTCGCCCACCACAAGCACGGGGGAGGGGTTGCTGCCCCAGGCACGCAGCACCTGGCGGGTCAGTGCGGGATTTAAGGGAGGGGAAAATGCGGATGGAAGATGGGAGACGTGCAGGTTGAGTGGGGCCCCCACCACAAGCACAGGCGCAGGGTTGCTGCCCCAGGCATGCAGTACCTGGTACGAAGGTGAAGAGAGGAGGAATGCGAGGGAGTATACGAAGCAGACACATGTGGGAAAGCAAGTGAGTGCGAGGCACTGACCTGCTGTGGAGAGGCGAGCATGGGCAGGCAGGCAGCGTGGGTGGTGGTGTTGGGAGGCAGATGCACGAGAGGAGAGCGGAAGAGCGAGTGGGAGACTGGCACTCGTGTGTCGAATACAACCCCTGGCGTGCCTGCTGCCATCCCACTCCCACCATCGCTTGCCATCCCACCAGCAGCACCATTATCACCATCATCACCAGCTGCATCACCATCACCAGCAGCAGCGCCATCAGCAGCAGCAGCGTCATCATTCCCACCGCTCCCGCTCCCATCATCTCGCCTCGTCTCGTCAAGGCCAGGGCAGTGCAGCAGAATGTTATCAACCTGATCCGCACATGCCCCAGGGGGGCCGTGCCAACACACCACCTGAGACACCTGAACAGGCCGCCTGAATTTTCTCCTGAACTCAGCAGTGGTGAAGACGGTGGGGCCGATGCACGACCTGAGATAAGCGAGATCGAGCACTAAGTGCAGGTCGTAGTTGAGGATGGTTTCAGAGCGGTGGAAAGGGATGATGAGGGTGCGGTTGAGAAGGCCTGCGAGCAGCATGTGGTTGCGCAGGCAGAGCAGACGATTGGTGATCTGCGTGTGTGAGGATGTGAGGGAGAGATAAACACAGATAGGGACGGGATGAGTGTGGCTCACATAAACGTGCAAACCGAACAACGGGTCTTACCTCTCTCTCACACCTCGCATATCTCTCAGAATGGTCAAAGTTCGCGCATTTCTGACCTGCCCTCGCACGCAGTGAGTCAGGAGGAACCGGTTGCTTGCAGGCGTCCACCTCACAGTGCCACGTGTCAGCGCGCCCTGCTCCCACGTGGCATTGAAGAGCGCACCTGACCCCTCGGCGCATTCCTGCAGCAACGGATGGCTGCGGGGAGGGTGTGAGGGGGAAGCGAGACGGCCAGGACGGGGCGAGAGACGGATTGACCGAGGGACTGAAGGGTGTAGACGGGATCGAGGTTGGGGGAAGAGATGCGGAACGCGAGGGAGCGGAGGAAACGAGGGAAGCGGTTGGTGAAAGGAGAAAGACGAAAGGAGAAAGGAGCAAAAAAGGAGAAAGACGAAAGGAGCCAGGGCGTGGGAGATGCGGGAGGAGAACGACGCACGTGTTGAAAGCTGATTGGGTGCGCCGCAGAATGCACGCCACGACGGCCAATAGGAGCAACGGAAACGCCGTCCAGTACATGGCAAGTGTCCGACGAACCAGGGGTAACACCTGGTTACCAGCGACATTGGCCAAATGGCGAGAAAACTGCGAATAAGGAATGCTGAGACGGCTGCATGAGGAAGAATGAACTCGCCGATTGGGAGACTGCAGTGAATCAAGGTGAATCAGGGTTACGTGGGTGGTAATCATTAATTTCAACAGCACACCGAGCATCTCTACTAGGGTGTCTCGTTATCAACGCTAATGCGTCCAGCCTGATCTGGTGAGCCCGTGGTATATAAATAAGAAATCCATGCTATTGTGGTGGAGGGATGAAAAAACAACCGGAATCCGTTGCACAACTGTCCTCGCAGCGCACCTGTTAGTATCAATACTATCTATCCAGAACGATTCTAGCCTACGCTTCCTGTCGTGCGAAGCCCAGATGCGTTGGCTTGCGAAAATAATTAGTCCCTCACCTCACCATGCTGGTGGCGCTGGTGGTAGATACTGGGAGATGGATCAGGCAGGTTGGATCTAAGCATGACAGTGCTTCGGGGTTGAATGCGGTGCAAACACGAAGAGCCAGGGTCCAATCTGGTCGTTTTTTCACAAATCCAAATTGCTGTGAGTGGAATCCTGTTACACCATCGAAGTTTCGCCACTGCCGAAATCCATGCGACCTTCAGGGCGACTAGCTGACGAACGTCGTCGTTTCCCCATCTTGCCCAGCCCACTTCTCATCGTACCCCTGCGACCTGTTTTAGCAGCAACTTCACACCAGAACAGGATTCATGGGCTCAGCTCAGGCTCCTAGTTACTCTGAGAATTGTCCCCCATGGAAAAAATCATCATTCGCGACTTGACTTGCAGACCTAATTTCCAAATTTCTTTTTTGCTCCTGTCGCCTAAGCAGGAGCGCGCCTTGCATCCGCTTCGCCTCGCGTGTAGCTGCAGCGTCAATCTCTCATCTGCCGACGGGCTGTCTCACGCTGATGTAGCTCTGCGATGCACTTTCCAAGGAATGCCGTTTAAATTCATCTTCCCTCTCCACGACGATTTCACTGTACCGCTCATCCCTTTGGCTTGGCGCGCCTGTAGCATTAGACCCAGACACAGGCACGCCTGCCGAACCAATCGTGGTTGCCGAACCACCTGTGGTGGTTGAACCAAACGTGCCTGCCGAACCGCCAATGCCTGCCGAACCAGCCTCGCCAGCCGAACCAACGGAGAACGCTGAGAAGAGATCCCCAACCACGTTCTCGTCTTCCTCCTCCACCGTGTGAACCGTCAGCATCGCATCCAGCCGCCTCACCACGTCCTTCATTTCCGGCCGTCGGATCCCGGGCATCTTGATGCAATCAAGGGCCAGATCTGCGAGTTCGACGACGGCATCCTCTGAGGCGTCCATCCGACGGTCCTTGAGCTCCTCGAGCGAGTAGCTCTGCACCAGCGTGGTCGCCTGCGCGAAAGAAACACACATTTCACGAAATGGGAACCGAAGGGTAACACATGTGCATTGTGCACCGCACACTGAAGCGCAAGACACGATCCAAAGTCATCAGGACAAACCACGGAAACAGAAATAAGCACAAACGCTGCGGGTGTGTTGCGCAATGCGGTGCACACTGAGTATCTCCAGTACGCACCCATTTGCCAATGTGCGTGCCACCCTCCACAGTGACCCGGCGCCCGCTGAGCATTTCCAGCAGCACGACGCCGAAGCTGTAGACGTCGCTCTTGGTGGTAACCAGCTCCGTGCGATTGTAGTCCGGATCCACGTACCCCGGCGTGCCCGCCACCTTGGTCGCCCGCCCCTCGCCCTCTCCAAACTTGAGCTTCCTCAGCAGCCCAAAGTCCGCTACCTTGGCCTGAGCGGGTGGGATAGAGGGGGGAAAGCAGAGGTGGGGAGCAGCTAACAGTGAGGTGCGGGAAAGGCAAGGCACAACTGGCCTGTTTTGCAGTGAGGTGTGGGCAAAGGAAGGAAGGCTCGAACGGCTCACAGTGAGGTTGTCCCCGACGAGGATGTTGGCGGGCTTGATGTCGCGGTGAATGATGGGATTCTCAAAGCCGTGCAGATATGCCAACCCCTCCGCTGCCCCCACCGCCAGCTTCAACCGCTGCCTCAGCGTGAGTGGCTCTGGGGACAGACGGTGGGGTGGGGGGGAAGAAGTGGACAGAGAGAGTGGAGAGGGTGGGGTGGGTGGACCGTAGCAGAGCCTGGTTCAGATGCTGTGGAGGTGGAAGTAAGGACTGTAGGTGGCACCGGAAGAGTCACACACTCACTCTGTGTCTTGAAGAGGTGGAAGGAGAGGTCCCCATGCTCGACAAACTCGTAGACGAGGATCTGCTCCTGCTTGCCACTCTCCATGTCCATGTCGTGACAGAACCCTAGCAGCCGCACCAGGTTGGCATGATGCAGACTCGCCATCGCCCGCACCTGGGGAGGAGGTGAAGGGCACAAGCACGTGGGTTAAGGCACAAGCACGGAGGGATGAGAGGATCTGCTCCTGCTTGCCACTCTCCATATCCATGTCATGACAGAACCCTAGCAGCCGCACCAGGTTGGCGTGATGTAGGCTCGCCATTGCGCGCACCTGGGGAAGAGTTGAGGAGCACAAACATTGAGGGCTCAAAGACGCAAAGAAGAAATAACAATGGTGGTTGTTGCACGACCAGGCTGTTGTGGTGCAGACTTGCCAGCAATGAGGAGCCAAGGCAAGAAGAGAACCTGACTCGCGAGAAGAACAGGTGCCAGTCTCCTAGCCAGCCCAGGGTTCCGTTCTGTACTCGTTACAGGCCTACTCACCTCCGTTTCAAAGTCATTTGACATGAGGGTGATGCGCTTGACAGCCCAGAGCTGCCCCGTGGCAGGGTTGACGCCCTTGTACACGACAGCGAAGCCCCCCTCGCCCAGCACGTTCTCCTCTGCCCAGTCGTTGGTGGCCTTGCGCATCGTTGCCATCGAAAACTGCTGACACACGTCCAGGTCGCTCCATCGCTCTGGGAGGAGAGAGAGGGTGGGAGGGGGAGAGAAGAGGCCGGGGTTGAGAGCACCTGGCACACGTCCACCGCCGTGGGGAGAAGAAGAGGAGGGTACAGGCAGAGATCATGTGGAGAAGGGATGCGATGTATTCATTGAACTCTGTAAGCAAACGGGCGATGCATAGACACTTTTGAAAGGCGGTGTGGAGCGGAGGAACTTACTCTTCTTCTTGGGCCGCAGCAGCAGGCAGAGCACGGACGCCAGCAGCGCGATTCCCAGCAGGCAGCTGAGACCCACGATGCCTGTCATGGGGATCGAGGACGAGGTTGCTGTGGGGCAGGGGAAGTGGAAAAACAGAGCGACCCCCATGGGAAAAACACGTGTTGAGAGGTGAGTGACGGCAAGCAGAGCAGAGCAATGCCCAGCAGGCAGCTGAGACCCACGATGCCTATCATGGGGATTGAGGACGAGGTTACTGTGGGGCAGGGGAGGGCAAGGCCAAGGGGGCGAGGGCACGAGGGCACGGGTGCGAAAGCGAGGGAGTTTGCAGGACGTGAGTTGAAGGACGTGAGTTGAAGGACGTGAGTTGAAGGACGTGAGTTGAAGGACGTGAGTTGAAGGACGTGAGTTGAGGAGCATGAAGGCAAGAAGAGCAGAACTGATGTGCCTTGGCACTTTCGGTGGTGATTATTCCCTGCTTACTTTGAGCTGATTATTCGCCCTTGGTGGAAAAGGTGCAGGTGGAGGCATTGGCAAGAGTGACAGAGACGTATGGCGCCTCACACACCTGAACCCACCTCAACCCACGTGAACTGCCCAGTGACCCATGGATTGCTTTTTGACTTCCTCCTAGTTGAGTTCAACTTCTTATGAGTCTTCACTCACTCTCAGTGACGTAGGGCGCGCCTCACACGAGCACTTCAACTCACCTGAATTGCCCTGTGACCCATGGATTGCCAACTAACTTTTTCCTGGTTACTATGAACTAATCACTCACTCTTAGTAGGGAACGCGCAGGTGGAGCCGTTGTCAACGGTGACAGTGACGCAGGGCGCCTGACACGAGCACCTCAACTCACCTCATCTGCCCATGAATCATGAGTTGCACCCCGACCTTTTCCCTGTTTACTTTCAACTTATAACTTCACTCACTCTCAGTGGGGAAGGCACAGGTGGAGCCGTTGTCAACGGTGACAGTGACGCAGGGCGCCTGACACGAGCACCTCAACTCACCTCATCTGCCCATGAATCATGAGTTGCACCCCGACCTTTTCCCTGTTTACTTTCAACTTATAACTTCACTCACTCTCAGTGGGGAAGGCACAGGTGGAGCAGTTGTCAACGGTGACAGTGACGCAGGGCGCCTGACACGAGCACCTCAACTCACCTCATCTGCCCATGAATCATGAGTTGCACCCCGACCTTTTCCCTGTTTACTTTCAACTTATAAATTCACTCACTCTCAGTGGGGAAGGCACAGGTGGAGCCGTTGTCAACGGTGACAGTGACGCAGGGCGCCTGACACGAGCACCTCAACTCACCTCATCTGCCCATGAATCATGAGTTGCACCCCGACCTTTTCCCTGTTTACTTTCAACTTATAACTTCACTCACTCTCAGTGGGGAAGGCACAGGTGGAGCCGTTGTCAACGGTGACAGTGACGCAGGGCGCCTGACACGAGCACCTCAACTCACCTCATCTGCCCATGAATCATGAGTTGCACCCCGACCTTTTCCCTGTTTACTTTCAACTTATAACTTCACTCACTCTCAGTGGGGAAGGCACAGGTGGAGCCGTTGTCAACGGTGACAGTGACGCAGGGCGCCTGACACGAGCACCTCAACTCACCTCATCTGCCCATGAATCATGAGTTGCACCCCGACCTTTTCCCTGTTTACTTTCAACTTATAACTTCACTCACTCTCAGTGGGGAAGGCACAGGTGGAGCTGTTGTCAACAGTGACAGTGACGTAGGGCGCCTCACACCTGCACTTGAACGCGCCGCCAGTATCCCCCTGTGAAGGCGGCACACACGCCCCCCTCCCATTGCACGGGCCCAGGTCCGTCACACTGCAGAACGCCGCGCACTCCTGTGCATCCCTTTGCACCTCCGTCACAGAGCACTTCGCCTGCCTGTTCACCGACAGGCAATTCCCCTTATAGCTCGCCTGCACTGTAGCGTACGCCGCCACACACTGCACAGCCTCTTTCATCGACTGGGAGTCGCTGCGCTTGCTCCCCCCTGCGCTATCCCCTAGACTATTAAGATCAGACATGTTGATTCGGGTGATGCGTGGGGTGGGGCATGCCTTAAAGCCCCCCGCGTACACGACAGGGTCGCCATAAAAGTAATTGTTCGCGAGGTTGATGACGGCTGGCTTGGTGTAGCCGCTGGTGGGCTTGGGGACCATGCCGACAAAGTCCATGTTGATTGGGCCGTAGAAGGAGTTGTTGCTCATGTCGCTGTAGTGGGGGGGGTGGGAGGGAGGGGAGGGGGACGGGGAGTGTGGCATTGATGGGGGAATAAGGTCCGTCAAGCTTGGGGACCATGCTGACAAAGTCCATGCTGATTGGGCCGTAGAAGGAGTTGTTGCTCATGTCGCTGTAGTGGGGTCATGCCGACAAAGTCGAGGTTGATAGGGCCAAAGCACGAGTTGTTGCTCATGTGGCTGGGGGAATGAGGGAAAGGGGGAGTAAAATGGGGGGAGTTGGAGCGGGGAGAGAGATGCATCGACGGAAGGGATGGCTTGAGGAGAATAGGGTGACATGCGGTGGATAAGGGTTTGAATGGAGTGACGCAGGTTCACACATTATTGAGGGCTCACACGTAGTTGAGTGCTCACACGTAGTTGAGTGCTCACATGTAGTTGAATGCTCACACGTAGTTGAGGGCAGGGAAGTTGAACAAGCAGGTAGGGAAGCTGCCGTAGAGACCATTGTTGCTCAACCCACTGTAACATGTAGAGCACACACACCGACACAAGTAATCACATGCATGTGAACACACACAAGTGAACACAAACATGTGAACACATACCCACGCAGGTGCATGTACATGCCATGTGCACATCCGCAGCGTTACAAAGACACGAGAAGCTACATGCGCTGCACACAAGCTGGATAGATGCTTGAGGCATCGACAACCAAGGTAAAGCAATGCAAATCTGTGGTCCATCAATTCACACGCCCATGCATGCACCTATGCTCATCATCTGGACGTAAGCAACACTCACATGCTTAAAAGCCAAGGAGTCATGCCTTGGGCCCCTCTCTCACACCCCCCAGCGAAGCAACACTGTGTGTGAATCAGCCATATACAAGCTTGGAGCCTCTCTTTCGTATTGACACTCACACTCACATTGACTCTAACTGAACTCACATGGCCTCTAATGCCGTGAGGTTGCAGATGGCTGCAGGCAACTGCCCCTCAAACGCATTGCCGTCCAAGAGGCTGTGGCAGACATGCCGTAGGCATGGGGGGAGCATGGGTAAGCATGGGGTAGAGATTGAGTTGACACGAGATACATGGTAGAAGGCAGACAGACGGCATGCCCTGGCCCAAACGGGGAAGGCACAGCAGTGACAGCACACATCCCGTGAACCAGGAGGGAGCAGGAACGGGAGGGGGGGGGGACGGGGGGGAAGTAGGGGTGGTGGAGGTTGGGGAGGGTGGAGGTTGGGAGGGTGGAGGTTAGGGAGGGTGGAGGTTGGGGAGGGTGGAGGTTGGGGAGGGTGGAGGTTGGGGAGGGTGGAGGTTGGGAGGGTGGAGGTTAGGGAGGGTGGAGGTTGGGGAGGGTGGAGGTTGGGGAGGGTGGAGGTTGGGAAGGCTCACAGCTGAACGGTGGCATTGAGTTGCCCCAGGAACTCGGGGAGTGGGCCCGAGAGAGCGTTGTCTGCCATCCACCTGTGGGGTCGAGTCGAGGGCCACGAGCCGAGGGCAGGAGAGGTGAGGGGAGAGGGCGAGAGGGGAAGGAGATGATGGGAGAAGGACGGTAAGAGAAGCAGGGGACAAGATGGAAAAGGACAACCATGTACAGACTCCTTGAGAAAGCATGGATGCGGTTGGAACCTCAAGGGAAGGGAGTAACATGTGTGGGTGACTGACCGACTGACAGGGGCCATGATGAAGCAAGGTTACCTCAACATCTCGTAAGTGTTACTGAGTTGTGTGTACTGGTCGAGTCTAGTCTACGAGATTTGCAACGCTGCAAATTATGTTAAGGCGAGGGAGAGGACTTGCAGAACCTATCACCCATTCCATGACCAACTTACACTCCGTGAACGGGTCCCTATCACCCTCACTCACAGCACGTTGAGCTTTTTGACGGCTGCAAGGCCTGAGGGGAGGGAGCCCGATAGCTGGTTGCCCTGCAGAGTGCTGCATGGAGAGAGGAAGGGCAGGGGAGAGGGAGTGTGGTGGAGGGTTCAGGGTAAATGCAGAGAGAGAGAGAGAACCCAAAGCAAGGATGAGAACGAAGCGAGTAGGGTGGCAGAGAGTGGTGAAGGAAGGGGGTTTGCAGAGAAGGGTGTGTAGAGTGTGTGTAGGGTGTAGGGAGTGCGTACAGGGTGTAGAGGGAGGTGAGAACACTGATGGAATCGGGTATGGGACCCGTGAGGTTGTTGAATCCAAGGTACCTGCACATGCGGGAGGTGCGGGGGGGAACCAGGCGAAACGAGAGTGAGGAGAGAGGTAGGAGAGAGGGTGAGCAAAGAGGTTTTCTCTGACAAAGAACGGGCAACATAAAAAAGTCAGGGGAACGGGAGCAAGACCGAGGGTGAGGAGCAAAGGGAGCTGCCTCTGATTGAGGGTGATGGGATGGGATGCGAGATGGAAGGATTTCAGGGAGTTAGGCACGCGGTCATGCTGTTCCGACAGACAGACTTCCAAGCTGTAAAAGACAAGCGGTGAGGCCGAGCGCACACAGCACAGAAAGGATTTTTGATACGAGTCAAAAGGCAGTGAGGCGAACAGAGCATTGAATGGCTTCTGAGATATTTAAAAAATGGCCCGGGCATACAGGGCAGTGAGGGCATACAGGGCAGTGAGGGCATACAGGGCAGTGAGGGCATACAGAGCATTGAGCGTGGTATTGCGCCAGGCGTTGAAGTCTGGAAGGGGCCCTGACAGGCTGTTGCCCTCTAGCTTGCTGCAGTCGTGGTGGGTAGAGCAGATGGAAGGGGCAGAGAGGAGAGAGGCGGAGCATGTGGCCTCAAGTTGTGGCAGCAATCAGCTCGCTGCTGTAATGTGGGAGAGTGAGGTGGGGCCAGGAAAGGGGGGTGGGGGCTGGAGGATGGGAAGGGTGTCAAATGTGGTGGGAAAAAGCACAACATACGAGGAAGTTTTTGTCAACCAGAAACTGGAAAGCATTGCCAAACAGCGGTTCGAAATTGTGGTAACATGATGACATGGGAACATGGTGACGCGGTAACTGGTGATGCGCTGACTGGCGTGGTAATGGATGGTTACAGCATAGAAAGGGAGGAGCTTGTGCTGAGGTGGGGTGGAAGCGAGCCCTGCAATTTGTTGTACGCGAAGGAGCTGCAGGCATATTGAGGTGGAGAGAGAACACGCAGAGGGACACACGGAGAGCGCAGAGGAACACACGGAGAGCGCAGAGGGACACACGGAGAGCGCAGAGGGACACACGGAGAGCGCAGAGGGACACACGGAGAGCGCAGAGGGACACACGGAGAGCGCACAGCAGTTGCATTGAGTATCATGGCGACTGATGTTTCACTGGCAGCATCGGCACTGTGATGCCTTGCTTTTTTCATGGCAGCATACGCACTCTCGTGCCATGCTGTTCCCATGGCAGCAGCACATGCACTGTCATCATAGCATCAGTCAATCGCATCGCCCTTCAAATCTCCACATGCCATGTCACAATGCCATGCCAGCTGGCGTCATGGCAAGCATGCCACGTGGCAGACAGACAGCGTGCTCACAGCTCAATGATGGTGGGCGAGAGCAAGAGGCCTGGAGGAGGGATGTCCCCCACCATGTGGTTCTTGAGACATCTCCAGCGAGCAGCAGTGGAGGAGAAAGATTAAAAAGAGTAGATCCCTCAGAAGTAGACGTGCTCACAGCTCAATGATGGTGGGCGAGAGCAAGAGGCCTGGAGGGATCTCCCCTACCATGTGGTTGCGATCCATGTACCTGGTGGCGTGGGGAGGGATGTGGCATGATATGGCATGGCATGGCATGGATGGCATGGCATGGCATGGCATGGATGGCATGGCATAGCATGGATGGCATGGAAAGCGCCATAGAGAATGTGATGCGATGTGTGGTGCACGGTCTATACCACATGGTTACAGGGCGTGGGACATGGGTTACAACACATGGGACATGAGGGTCGATGGTGGGAATACACAAAACATGGTGATGGTCATGTGAGAGGCAGTGCACAGTACATGGTGCATGCATGGTGTCGGGTGAATAACGAAAGACATGGTGCATGGGGAGTAACACAAGACATGGTGCATGGGGAGTAACACATGACATGGTGCATGGGGAGTAACACATGACATGGTGCATGGGGAGTAACACATGACATGGCGCATGGGGAGTAACGCATGACATGGTGCATGGGGAGTAACACAAGACACGGTGCATGGGTGCAAGGGCAGAGGGAGCAGGGACGCACAGGTACAAGATGTTTTTGAAGGAGGTAAGCTCGGTTGGGAGAGGTCCTTCAAAGTTGTTGTACGAGAGGTCCCTGCTTGGCAAGGCGTGCACGGAGGGCACGGAGTGCACGGAGTGGAAGGGGTAGAAGTGGCAGAAGCGGCCGAAGTGGCAATGGGACGTGGAGCAGTGAGTCGAGAAATTCGATGCAATGTGAGATGCAGCAAGTTCTGAGATGCAATGTGAGATGCAGCAAGTTCTGAGATGCAATGTGAGATGCAGCAAGTTCTGAGATGCAATGTGAGATGCAGCAAGTTCTGAGATGCAATGTGAGATGCAGCAAGTTCTAAGATGCAATGTGCGGTTGAGGGTTGGTACGAGGAAAGGAGTGAGCGATGGAGGAGGCGTACATGAGCGATGGAGGAGGCGTACATGAGCGATGGAGGAGGCGTACATGAGCGATGGAGGAGGCGTACATGAGCCCGAGCTGGGTGAGGGTGAGCAGCACGGATGGGAAGGTTCCCCCGAAGTTGTTATATGCAAGGATGCTGCAGGCGCCTCATGAGGTGGGGGCAATTGAGGGGGAAAAGTGCAATGCATGGTTGAGAAAGTGCAATGCATGGGAAATGTGCAGTGCATACAGTTCACCGTGGAGTGGTTGTACTCAAGATTGCAGCAGAGGCAGCGACCTTCTGACATGCACTGCAAGGTGGCATCGAAGAGAACATTTACGTCAATGAATGGCACAGCACAGCACAGTACCACGTTCTTGGAACTTGTGATGAGGATTCGGACAGGGGTGCTGATTAAAGGGAGGTGATGGCAACGGATGCCGGTGCGCTCTGGCATGGAAGAATGATCAAGGCGTAAGGCTTGATAAACACACACACACGCAGCAACCAGCAAATGCCACCATCCATCACACCATGCCATCACCTTCCCTCCTCAGTCCTCTCACCACGTGCCCATGCTTTCATCGACTGCCATTAGTATTTGTGTGCGTGATCAATTGTTTACACTTTGGACCCTACGACTGTGGTCATCCACTGGCGACGCACAGGGCATCGAGGCTGGTAAGGCGGGAGAAGGAGGCAGGCAGAGAGCCGCTGAAGCTGTTGTTGGTCAGATCCCTGGTGGGGCGAGCGGATGGATGGATGGAGGGAGGGATGGATGGTGGGGAGGAGAAAGAGAAGGACGAGCAGGGAAGGAGATTTGAGGGAAATACTGTGAGGAGCGATTGGAGAGGTGCTTGAGAGTAGGATTTTCAGATAAAAATGCGAACAAATATACGTGCGATTCTTCTATCCAACACCATGCACCCTCTCCGCTCCGTTTGGCGGCATGAAGTGCGGATAGCTCACTCACAGCATGTAGAGCCACTCCATTTGACTGGGCACGTCCAGGCCATCAGAGAGGAAGTTGCCCATTAGAAAGCTGCATGTAGAGGAGGTGGGGAGCGAGTGTTGATGGTGAGAGGGAGGTGAATAGAGGAAGATTGGCACATGATGGAAGAAGCAGAGAATATCAGTCAGAGATGCATGAAGCAGATGGAAGACGCCGAGACAGACAGAGACCGCAGTCGAACGGGTGAGCTGATTTGCACGGACACAAAGAGGGTGCAGGAAGAGGGAGGGTGGGAGAGGAGGTTGCGAGAAGAGGGTGGGAGAGGAGGGTGGGAGAAGAGGGTGGGGAAGAAGGCTGTATAGCGATAGGATGAGGATCAGAGAACAGCGGAAGGGGTGCGTACAGCTCGGTGACACCTTGAGTGTTGTGAGCTGAGCGGGTGGCTTTGGAGACGCCTCAAAAGCCGATAGGAAGGGGTTCACTTTAGAGCGAGAAGGGGGGAGGGGGGGGGGCGGTACGCACAGTTCGGTGACTCCGGTGAGTGCTGTGAGCTGAGCGGGAATGGCTCCTGTGAATATGTTGCTCTTCAGCTCACTGTGTGAGTGGGAAGAGAGAGGGGGAGGGGTGAGCGAGCGGGTGAGGAGGATAGGGTGAAAGGACAAGGCTGAGAGGGAGAGGATGAATGAAAGAAAGATGGTGAACGCTTAAAGGTGAGGGGAAGAGGAGGAAAAGGAGATCAACAGGAGAGGGTGAGAGATGGTGACAGATGACGAGCAGAGGGATGGCAGACCGGTGGGACTGAGCTTACTAGTGGCAAAACGAAGAGGGGCAGAGGGGGCATCGCCGCATCACACGGAGCACAAGGAGCAGAGGGAGCAGGAGGAGCAGGAGGAGTGGGAGTGTGGGGGCGGACTGACAGATTGGTGAGCAGAGTGAGGGAGCCCAGGAAGGAAGGAATGCTGCCCTCGAACCTGTTTCCCCCCAGCTGCCTGCCAGTGGTGCGTGGGTGCCAGGAGGGTGGAACACAGAGCTGTTTTAGAATGTTCAAGAAAACCTTGCTGCCAGCAGCAAATTGACAGTGGGTGCAGGGGAGGAGATTCAGAGGCGGGCAGCATGCACGTGCAGTGATAAGTGACGCCCCCCTACAGTGATAAGCGACTGTCAGTCCAGTCCACACACTGCCCTGCAGTGCAGGTAAGGCACTGAGCAGAGCACTCACACAGTCTGTAGCACTCGCAGTGATTGCAACACTCACATGAGGGGGTGGACACGGAATATGCGCAGCACTCAAGTGGGGAATGAGCGCATGGCATGGGCGCAGCCGTGAGCACTCAAGTGGGGAATGAGCGCATGGCATGGGCGCAGCCGTGAGCACTCAAGTGGGGAATGAGCGCATGGCATGGGCGCAGCCGTGAGCACTCAAGTGGGGAATGAGCGCATGGCATGGGCGCAGCCGTGAGCACTCAAGTGGGGAATGAGCGCATGGCATGGGCGCAGCCGTGAGCACTCAAGTGGGGAATGAGCGCATGGCATGGGCGCAGCCGTGAGCACTCAAGTGGGGAATGAGCGCATGGCATGGGCGCAGCCGTGAGCACTCAAGTGGGGAATGAGCGCATGGCATGGGCGCAGCCGTGAGCACTCAAGTGGGGAATGAGCGCATGGCATGGGCGCAGCCGTGAGCACTCAAGTGGGGAATGAGCGCATGGCATGGGCGCAGCCGTGAGCACTCACAGTGACTCGAGGGTGGTGCTGAAGACGTCAGGCAGAGATCCTGAGAGCTGGTTCAAGCCGAGGTTGCTGTGGGCGGGCGTGAGGGTAGGGGATACGACGCATGTACATTTACATGCACATGCACACATGCAGACGCACACACGTATAATCACATGCACATGCACATGCAGAAGCGCATACAGCTGAGGAAACATGCGTGCACGCACACAGCACGTATGCTGGGAGCAGCACAGGCACAGGCACAGGCACAGGCACAGCAGGGTGGGGACTGACAGTGTCTTGAGCGAGCGGAGGGAGGAGAACTGGCGCGGGATGGAGCCCACCAGCTGGTTGTACTGGAGCGACCTGCACAGGGGAGAGGACGAGGGGTGGAAAGGGCCGATAGACAATCGGAGATCACGGGAGGGAGGCTGATAGGGTCAGCACGGTAGGGAGGGCCAGATTGTGGATTCAAGCGCTTCACGAGGGAGCAGTGGTGATGTGGATGAATAGCGGTGATGTGGATGAACAGTGGCGATGTGGATGAACAGTGGCGATGTGGATGAACAGTGGCGATGTGGATGAACAGTGGCGATGTGGATGAACAGTGGCGATGTGGATGAACAGTGGCGATGTGGATGAACAGTGGCGATGTGGATGAACAGTGGCGATGTGAATGAACAGTGGCGATGTGGATGAACAGTGGCGATGTGAATGATCATGCTTTTCTGAAATTTCTCCCAGGGATGATGGAATGTGGAGCAACCGTTGATAAGAACCAGCAGATCCCTCTATCTTCGAGTCTACGGCTACCAATGCAGCTCATAGGGCAGAGAGAGAGGGGCTCACAGCGTGGTGAGGTTGGTGAGGGAGCCCCATGACTCAGGCAGGAAACCCACGAGCCCGTTGCCATTGGCCTTGCTGCCGTGGACCATGGCCGGGTGGATGATGGGATGGTGGGGGATGGGCGGGTGGGTGATGGGTGAGTGGTGCGATGGTCGGGGGACAGGGAAAGGGGCACGAGGAGAACCTGCTATCCTTACTGCAGAGCTCAGAAAGTGTGTCTCAGAAGGAACATTTGTCCATGTGGGGCCGGCATGGGGACACTGATGGCCACATGCATGTGATGTGACGTGAGTCACACATGCGTGCTGGCCTACGCTCACATGCATGCTGCCCTAAGCTCATTACGCGTGCTGCCGTAGTGTATTGAGAAGCACATGAGGGGCGGCGGCACTGACAAGAACTCCAAATGGGAGAGCAGCGAGAGGTCCTGAGGCACAGCCCCCGTGCGCAGGTTGGCCTCGTGCGTCACGTCGCTGTGGTGGGAGGGGCGACGGGGGAATAGGGGCACACGCACACAAGGGACGGGCACGAGGAAATGAGGGAGGGACACAAGGTGAGAGGTCCTGAGGCACATCCCCTGTGCGCAGGTTGGCCTCGTGAGTCACGTCGCTGTGGCGGGGCGATGCAAGGGGGCGATGGAGGGGCACGCGCACACATGGGAGGGACAAGAAGGGGCCGAGGGAGTGACACAAGGTGAGTGAGAGGGGTCTTGCAGAACAGCCCCTGTGCGCAGCTTGGCATCGTGACTCACGTCCCCGTGGTGGGATGGCCAAGGGGAGCAAGGGAATGGAGGAGAGAGGAGGCGAGAAGGAAGAGAGTAGGGAGGGGAAGGAGAACAATCAACAGCGAATTGCGTGCAAAGGACAAGGGGGCAATGCGGACGAGAGGGTTTGTCTTCAGAGAGAAAGTGACGAATGCAGCGAGCAGGCGCACAAACGGAGTGAGTTGCATCTTGCGACCAGACAGATTGTTCCAAGAAAAATGCGTCACATGTGCATGGATTCTCCGACGCCACAGTGCGAGCAATAGGAGGACGTACAGGTATCGCAGTTCGGAAAGCGCTGTGAGCCAGAAAGGAAGCTGCTTGAAACGGAGAAAAGACAAGTCCCTGAAGGGAGGGGAAGGCAGTGCAAGCGTGAGAACATCCTGCTAGGACGTCAGTACCAACGAGTTGAGTGTTTGCGTTCAGAATGCCGATATCATATTCCAGACTTCAGTTCTAAAATTCAAGCGCGTGACTTGAGCCTGATCGGAACCACAGCCACCAGAGCCACAGGTGGGCGCAGTGGGTCTTACAGGTAGGTGAGGTTCTGCAGGAGCGCGAGGGAGACAGGCAGCTCGCCCCACATGTGCATGTCGCTGAATGTGCTGTGAGCGGGAGGGAGGGGTTGAGAGGGGGAAACGCGGAGAGGCGAAAGGGAGAGAGGTGACAGGCGGAGAGGGGGAAATGATAACTGAAGGGCGGAAGGGGAGAGGCCAAGGGGTGGTGGAACTATGGAAAGAAGCGTGCAGTTGTGACAGGCAGAGTAGAGGGGGAGGAAAAGAGGGAAAACGAGAGGGAGGGAGGGAGGGAGGGAGGGAGGGAGGGAGGGAGGGAGGGAGGGAGGGAGGGAGGGAGGGAGAGGCGGGGGGGAACTCACAGGCGTCGCAGAGAGCGGAGGGAGGAGAAGAGGGAGATGGAGGAGAGGTCCCCAGAGATTTTGTGCGCACTGGTGATGTCCCTGCAAGGCACAGTTTCGCAAGGGCGGTGATGGGATGGGGAGTGGAGTGGGTGAGACATGATGGAGAGCGGACAGCATGGCACCATGGTGGATGGCATGGCAACAGTGCGCGAGAGCACAGCACAGGGAGGTGGGATGACTCACAGAGACTGCAGGTTGGTGAGGAGGGAGAGCCACGTGTACTGAGACATGGCTCCCTTGAGGTTGTACACCTGCCGTAGCGACCTAAAAGGGGGCGGCGGGGGGGGGGGGGGGGGGTGGGGGGGGGGGGGGGGGGGGGGGAGGGGGGAGGGTGGTGGAAAGGGGGGTGAGGGGGGGTTGGTAGTGTTGGTTGAGTCAACTTAAAGCCACATGTACTGCGACATGGCTCCTGTCAGGTGTACACCTGCCGTAGTGACCTGGAAGGGTGGGAAGGGGGAAAGGTAGGACAAAAGGGGGGGTTTTGTTGCAAGAGAATGAGCGGGGACGTTGGCACGATAGGTTGTATAGTAGTGGACGGTTGTAAGGCGAAGGATTGCGTTGGGTGATGGAAGATTGCGTTTGGAGACGGACGAATGCAAGCTTAGAGCACGTTGGAGTTGAAGGGCGTGGTGAAGGAAGAAGATGTGCAGACAAGGATGGCAGTGGGAAAGAGGAGAGCCGTACAGGTAGGAGAGAGCGGAGAGTTGACTCATGGTGGCTGGGAGGCTCCCTGACACCTGCGTGAGAGTCAAGTCCCTGCAGCACCGCACAGCACAGTGGGGAGGGGAAGGTCAGGCGCTGTGCTGTGCTGTGAAAGGTCGCACAAGCATGGTACGATACGACACAGGAAGAGCAGACTGTGTGGCGGAGTGGGCGAGTGAGTAACTGGCCGGGACAAGGATAAGAGGGCTTACAAGTGGCGGAGGAGCGAGAGGGAGGAGATGGCAGAAGGGATGGATCCACTGATCTGGGTGTTGGAAAGGTCGCTGTGGAGAGGAGGGGGGATGAGATCAGAGGGGTGGTGAGAGAGGCAGTGTGCATGTGTTAGAGGGTGTGATAAGAGTGGTGGGTTGATACGAGAGAGGGAGTGAAGAGATGGAAGAGAGTAGATGAGAGAAAGAAGGGGGGCAGATGAGAGCCTTGGTGTGAGGGGAAGGCATGTTTGGTACTTGAAAGGGAGGGGAGGAAGTCGTAGTACATGTCAAGAAGCTTCCATTAAGACGGTAGAAATGAACCAGAAACGCAACGCATGGGCATGGGAAAGGTATGGTTGGGCATAGGATGGTGCGGGTGGGAAGGCAGGGCAAGCATGAGGGCAGCAGGGTGCATGCGAGCAAGCTCACACTTGTTGCAGCAGTGGCAGCGATGTGAGCACGTTGATGGACCCTGTCAGATCCATGTTGTATGAAAGGATTCTGGGGAGAGATGGTGCGATGATGCATGCATGCACACAGGGGGCATGGGTCATGGGGCATGAGCAGGCCGGGCATGGGGCATGGGGAATGCAAAATGGGGCATGGGGCGTGGGGCATGCGGAATGAGGCATGGAGCAAGAGGGAATGAGCACGGGGGCGAAGCAGAGGGTGTACAGACATGAGGCGTGGAGTTGAGGGGGATACAAGATGGTAAGCGAAGCCACTATTGAGACAAGGGATACAAGACGAAGTGGCACAACCGCCGGAATACAATACGACAAGACGCTTCCAACGTTTGAGCTTGACTCACAGGGCTTTAAGCTGCTTGAGCTGAGCGAATGCATCCAGCGGCAGGGCCTTGCTGAAATAATTGTACGACAGATCCCTGCACGCGACGCCATGCCATAGCATGCCATGCCGTGCAACAGAAATCCATGACCATGCAAGACGGGGCGAGCAGGAAAGAGGGAACGCGGGACAGAGAGAAAGAGTGGAAGGGGGAAAACGGGACAGAGGGAAAGAGTGAAGTGGGGAAAGAGTGAAAGGAGGAAAGCGGGACAGAGGGAAATAGTGAAAGAGGGAAAAGCGGGACAGAGGAAAGGGAACGAGCGGGTGCGGAAGGTAGTGGATAGAGCACCTTGTGAAAGGAGTTGTTATGAGGTGCATGCATACTCGCTAAAGGCATGCTCACTGCATTAAGTAATGAGTGTGCAACAGTCACATCAACTGCAATGCGCCTGTGCTATGCTCGCCATGCTCACAATTGCTGCAGGGCAGTGAGCATGCGAATGTCAGCGGGAATGACGCTTGATACACCCACACCAGCCACAGACCTGCGAGGGAGGATGTGTGGAGGGGAACCGGAAGGAAGGCCAATTCACGCAAGTAGCTCATCCTTGAAAGGGATGCTGATAGGGACATGAATTGTGCAGATTACACGTTACAGGCATAGCACCTACACGGGACGCGACTAGAACGTGAGTGACAAGAATACACGTTCAAGAATGCGACTCACATGAATCTAATGTACACGAATGTCACCATGAGTATCAATTTCCAGAAATAAAGTCTTCTCGAATGTCGTTTCCACGCATGTAATTTTCATGTCACTTCGGTAAGATCATTTTCACGAATGTCACTCCCAAGAATGTCACTCACAGAGCAGTGACTCGGCCTTGCGCGTCGCACGTGACGCCCGGCCACTGCGCGCAAGCAGGCGTCATGGCGCCATTGCCAGTCCACGCCTTCCACAAGCGGTTCAGCGCTACCAGCGCTCTCACTGCACGCCGCGTGACGGCCAAGGTCCATGGAGAGGCGAGAGAGAATCAATGCAAACGGAAAGGAATAGAAGAGAAGAAACGTTGTGTTTGCGAGCACGCGTGATTGTTTCCGGATTAACAGACAACGCCGATTGCCAATTGAGACAGGGTCACGCTTGGTGATGAGAGACGCTACAAGCGAGCACGCGTTGCTGGATTGTCTCACTGACGCTGCGAGGGAGTCAGATGGATGTCTGCTGTGCTGGTAGAGGAACCGACGGAACTGACACCCGACACGTGGCTCCATGATGCTTGCACGCTGTTCGTCAATTCCTCGTCCGTCTTTCTCGGAGAGACGTGGAATCCGGCGGTCGCGGGAGGAGCGAGCACTAAGCAGGCGTGCACGGCGATAAACAACGGGACGAGTCGTGGAAAGAGCACCCGACGACATGGGTTTTCCACGCGCTGACGCGATAGCGACGACGAGACGCACGTCACGCTGGTCATACTCGGTAGTCTAGCTTGAAGTAATCGAGATAACGCGGGAAGATAATATTGGCGCTGGGCGCTAACGAGCATACAGTATTCAACCGCGTCATTCCCTAACGCGTTTGTTTCAAGCTGCGGAGCCAACGAGAAACACCAGGTGGTTGCGTGTGGCTGTGTGTGTCATGTTTGCGATTCTATGCTTGCACCTCGCGCATCCCCTGCTTTGACATGACGAGGACGCCATGAGCTTGGACAGTGGGTTATGAAGCTCGTACACTAGAACCAGCCAAGGAAGCTAGCCACAGAAGGGCATGGATGGCAACGCAGAGCACATTCCTGAACCATCCCCGAGAAGAGAAGGCGGGAAAAAGCGTTCCCTGTAATGGACGGCACACACAGGGAATGCCGCCGAATCCAGCAGAAACAGTGAAACAGTATAACGAAAAGAAAATAAAAGAAAAGAAAAGAAAAGAAAAGTTCGGCGCCCCCGATGACGGCCGTGTTCGCCCACAAACGCCAAGGAAGCGCGTGGATCCCCGCGTGTGCAGGGGAAAGCATCGAACGACGCGAATGTCATTGCATATTCGGGTGTCCCATGCTCAAAGACACCTATCGGAACAATTCCGGCTTGGTTCGCGCGCAAAGAAAAGTTCGGCGCCAACGATGGCGGCCGTGCTCGCCGACAAACACCAAGGAAGCGCGTGGATCCCCGCGTGTGTAGGGAAAAGCATCGAACGACCCAAATGTCATTGCATATTCAGGTGGCCCATGCTCAAACACACCTATCGGAGCAATTCCGGCTTGGTTCGCGCGCAAAGAAAAGTTCGGCGCCTCCGATGGCGGCCGTGCTCGCCGACAAACGCCGATTTTGCGTTATTATTTTTCTTTTAATAAGCCTTTTATCTTGGGCAAATTTAACCATCAACAATCAGTTATGCAAAAAATTTAGATATATTTACACGCAAATCATAATCTATTTGCACTCAATTGTGTGTCGAAATAGTAATTAGCCAAGGCAAAGGTTCGAATCCTCATTTTGGACAACCTGTAGTAGAAGCTTACATAGGGAAAAGCATAGAACGACCCGAATGTCATTGCATATTCCGGTGGCCCATGCTCAAACACACCTATCAGAGCAATTCCGGCTTGGTTCGCACGCAAAGAAAAGTCCGGCGCCTCCGGTGACGGCCGTGCTCGCCGACAAACGCCAAGGAAGCGCGTGGATCCCTGCGTGCGTAGGGAAAAGCATCGAACGACCCGAATGTCATTGCATATTCCAGTGGCCCATGCTCAAACACACCTATCAGAGCAATTCCGGCTTGGTTCGCGCGCAAAGAAAAGTTCGGCGCCTCCGATGACGGCCGTGCTCGCACACAAACGCCAAGGAAGTGCGTGAATCCCTGCGTATGTAGGGAAAAACATCGAACGAACCGAATGTCATTGCATATTCGGGTGGCATATGCTCAAACACACCTATCAGAGCAATTCCGGCTTGGTTCGCCGACAAACGCCAAGGAAGCGCATGGATCCCTGCGTGCGTAGGGAAAAGCATCAAAGACCCGAATGTCATTGCATATTCGGGTGGCATAGGCTCAAACACACCTATCAGAGCAATTCCGGCTTGGTTCGCGCGCAAAGAAAAGTTCGACGCCTCCGACGGCCGTGCTCGCCGAAAAACGCCAAGGATGCGCGTGGATCCCCGCGTACGTAGGGAAAAGCATTGAACGACCCGAATATCATTGCATGTTCCAGTGGCCCATGCTCAAACACACCTATCAGAGCAATTCCGGCTTGGTTCGCGCGCAAAGAAAAGTTCGGCGCCTCCGATGACGGCCGTGCTCGCCGACAAACATCAAGGAAGCGCATGGATCCCTGCGCGAAAAACATCAAACGACCCGAATGTCATCGCATATTCGGGTGGCCCATGCTCAAACACACCTATCACAGCAATTCCGGCTTGGTTCGTGCACAAAGAAAAGTTCGGCGCCTCCGATGACGGCCGTGCTCGCCGACAAACGCCAAGGAAGCGCGTGGATCCCCGCGTGCGTAGGGAAAAGCATCGAAAGACCCGAATGTCTTTGCATATTCAGGTGGCATATGCTCAAACACACCTATCAAAGCAGTTCCGCTTGGTTCGACGCAAAGAAAAGTTTGGCGCCTCCGATGACGGCCGTGCTCGCCGACAAACACCAAGGAAGCGCATGGATCCCTGCGCGAAAAACATCAAACGACCCGAATGTCATCACATATTCGGGTGGCCCATGCTCAAACACACCTATCACAGCAATTCCGGCTTGGTTTGCGCGCAAAGAAAAGTTCGGCGCCTCCGATGACGGCCGTGCTCTCCGACAAACGCCAAGGAAGCACGTGGATCCCCGCGTGCATAGGGAAAAACATCGAACGACCTAAATGTCATTGCGTATTCGGGTGGCCCATGCTCAAACACACCTATCGGAGCAATTCCGGCTTGGTTCGCGCGCAAAGGAAAGTTCGGCGCCTCCGATGATGGCCGTGCCCGCCGACAAACGCCAAGGAAGCGCGTGGATCCCCGCGTGCGTAGGGAAAAGCATCGAACGACCCGAATATCTTTGCGTATTCGGGATGCCCATGCTCAAACACACCTATCGGAGCAATTCTGGCTTGGTTCGCGCGCAAAGAAAAGTTCGGCGCCTCCGATGACGGCCGTGCTCGCCGACAAACGCCACGGAAGCGCGTGGATCCCTGCGTGCGTAGGGAAAAGCATCGAACGACCTGAATGTCATTGCATATTCGGGTGGCCCATGCTCAAACACACCTATTGGAGAAATTCCGGCTTGGTTCGCGCGCAAAGAAAATCTCGGCGCCTCCGATGACGGCCGTGCTCGCCGACAAACGCCAAGGAAGCGCGTGGATCCCTACGTGCGCAGGAAAAAGCATCCAACGACCTGAATGTCATTGTATATTCGGGTGGCCCATGCTCAAACACACTTATCGGAGCCATTTTGGCTTGGTTCGCGCGCAAAGAAAATCTCGGCGCCTCCGATGACGGCCGTGCTCGCCGACAAACGCCAAGGAAGCGCGTGGATCCCTGCGTGCGCAGGAAAAAGCATCCAACGACCTGAATGTCATTGCGTATTCGGGTGGCCCATGCTCAAACACACTTATCGGAGCAATTTTGGCTTGGTTCGCGCGCAAAGAAAAGTTCGGCGCCTCCGATGACGGCCGTGCTCGCCGACCAACGCCAAGGAAGCGCGTGGATCCCTGCGTGCGTAGGGAAAAGCATTGAACGACCCAAATGTCATTGCATATTGCGGTGGCTCATGCTCAAACACACCTATCCGAGCAATTCCGGCTTGGTTCGCGCGCAAAGAAAAGTTCGGCGCCTCCGATGACGGCCGTGCTCGCACACAAACGCCAAGGAAGTGCGTGAATCCCTGCGTATGTAGGGAAAAACATCGAACGAACCGAATGTCATTGCATATTCGGGTGGCATATGCTCAAACACACCTATCAGAGCAATTCCGGCTTGGTTCGCCGACAAACGCCAAGGAAGCGCATGGATCCCTGCGTGCGTAGGGAAAAGCATCAAAGACCCGAATGTCATTGCATATTCGGGTGGCATAGGCTCAAACACACCTATCAGAGCAATTCCGGCTTGGTTCGCGCGCAAAGAAAAGTTCGACGCCTCCGACGGCCGTGCTCGCCGAAAAACGCCAAGGATGCGCGTGGATCCCCGCGTACGTAGGGAAAAGCATTGAACGACCCGAATATCATTGCATGTTCCAGTGGCCCATGCTCAAACACACCTATCAGAGCAATTCCGGCTTGGTTCGCGCGCAAAGAAAAGTTCGGCGCCTCCGATGACGGCCGTGCTCGCCGACAAACATCAAGGAAGCGCATGGATCCCTGCGCGAAAAACATCAAACGACCCGAATGTCATCGCATATTCGGGTGGCCCATGCTCAAACACACCTATCACAGCAATTCCGGCTTGGTTCGTGCACAAAGAAAAGTTCGGCGCCTCCGATGACGGCCGTGCTCGCCGACAAACGCCAAGGAAGCGCGTGGATCCCCGCGTGCGTAGGGAAAAGCATCGAAAGACCCGAATGTCTTTGCATATTCAGGTGGCATATGCTCAAACACACCTATCAAAGCAGTTCCGCTTGGTTCGACGCAAAGAAAAGTTTGGCGCCTCCGATGACGGCCGTGCTCGCCGACAAACACCAAGGAAGCGCATGGATCCCTGCGCGAAAAACATCAAACGACCCGAATGTCATCACATATTCGGGTGGCCCATGCTCAAACACACCTATCACAGCAATTCCGGCTTGGTTTGCGCGCAAAGAAAAGTTCGGCGCCTCCGATGACGGCCGTGCTCTCCGACAAACGCCAAGGAAGCACGTGGATCCCCGCGTGCATAGGGAAAAACATCGAACGACCTAAATGTCATTGCGTATTCGGGTGGCCCATGCTCAAACACACCTATCGGAGCAATTCCGGCTTGGTTCGCGCGCAAAGGAAAGTTCGGCGCCTCCGATGATGGCCGTGCCCGCCGACAAACGCCAAGGAAGCGCGTGGATCCCCGCGTGCGTAGGGAAAAGCATCGAACGACCCGAATATCTTTGCGTATTCGGGATGCCCATGCTCAAACACACCTATCGGAGCAATTCTGGCTTGGTTCGCGCGCAAAGAAAAGTTCGGCGCCTCCGATGACGGCCGTGCTCGCCGACAAACGCCACGGAAGCGCGTGGATCCCTGCGTGCGTAGGGAAAAGCATCGAACGACCTGAATGTCATTGCATATTCGGGTGGCCCATGCTCAAACACACCTATTGGAGAA